TACTGCGGCGGTGAGCTGAGGCTGGGTTTGGGTGCCACGGCTTCCTTCCTCATAAACAAGCAGGGCTCGGCATGCCAGGTACTCAGGGTTCAGCGGGGGAATGCACCCATGCAGTACCGTCACCCGGCCCCGACAGCGCGCGAAAACCGACCCGGCTCCGCGTGAGCAGGAAATGAGTCAGAAACAACCGGCGTACGCTTGTCTGCAAATGGCTCGAGCTCGAGATCTGCACACGTGTCCCCCATCCCCACGCTGCTCGGGGAACAGCAAGGGTCTGGACACGGCCGGGACCTGCCCCCTCCGGAGCAGGGAGCCCCTGGCGAGGCGTTTCAGTCCCCCAGGTACCATGGTGACTGATACCTTATCACACGCCTTGCATTGCTCCTGGGGAAAGTACCCGGCCTGTCACGGGATGTCCTTGATTAGAGCTCGGTTTCGGCTGGCTCGAGAAGCAATCTGGGCTAGAGCACAGGTTCCCAGGCGGCCGGCAGCCCAGCTAAGCCACCCTGCAGGGCTCGGGGGGCAGCTGGCCCTAAGGTCCCGGTTACACAGCTCTTCCCGGTTTCTTTTCTAAGATGCAAAATTTGTAGCGGGTAGAAATGGTACGGACGGGTCAGAGCCCTGCTGCTTTGACAGGGTATCACCATTCAGCGTGGAGATTCTCAGACATTGAACGAGGTGCAAAGCCCAGGCAAATGAGCTACCTGGGGGGACGTCAGAAGTGCAGGACCCTGCAGACCCGCGGCTTTAGGTGATCGTCCTGCAAGGCTTGCTGGTGACACGCAGCAGATCGGCACATCTCCACCATCAACTCTGTCTAGCAGCAGTGCAGCTCACTGCAGCCAACCCAGCTAAAATCCTCTCCCAGCATCCCAGTATATCCACCCGCCAGACTGGCCATGCAGTTCTCTGGCCACTGGAATTTCCAATGCAGAAATGCTCCTCCCTGAGCAATATCGCAGAGCTGGGATGTGAGGACCTGGTTTCGCAGATACTGGCAACACTGTTCCGTAAAACCCTGTCTCCAAGTCTCCAAAACATGCCGTGCCACTCGTCGCAGAGTTTTTCCGCCTGGTCGCATCTACATGGCCCACATGCGGCTCTGGGGAGATGGGCCCAGCCCCGGATGGGGTGTGGGGAAGGGAGAGGACCTGTTGTGCAGACGCTGGTTACACCAAGTTCAGGTTGGGTAAATAAATAAAGCTGAATGGAAATGACAAGCCCTACTCGCTGTGTTTGCAGGGGACTGTTTTTTGTTTTGCAGGAACGGGTTTATTTGGCGGTAAACAAATCCCACCTCGGAGGAGCCAGCAGAGCCGGTGACCGCTCCGCCGAGAGCCAGAAAACGAAACCGACTGACTCACAGTTTCAGTGAGAGGCAGGGTAAACACGCTGCGAGAACAAAAGAGGAAATAAGCGTACCAAAAATCCCTGGTTTTCATTATCCCAAGCGCTGGTTTTAGTAACACGAGGACAGGAGAACACACATGTTTTTCCCCCAGGTGCTAACCCACAGCATCCACTGGGACCATCTCTGCGTCTCTCCCACTCAAAGGAAGAGGATCTGGATCAAGATTTGCCTTGTGGACTCCCCGTACCAGCAGCAGAGAGGGAGAGAGTGCTTTGGAGCTCCTCTGGGATCTTCGGGCTCCACGTGGGATCACCGGGGCCGTGTCAGGGGGCTCACGACCTGCTGTGAACCCCCACACTGCAAGGGAGGACCTGCTCTGCTTCTGCTTCACGGAGCAGCGACCGTCGTCCTCGGTCCCAGCACACTCTCGGCATCCAGACCAGACCTGCCCCAACAACAGCCTCTTGCCTGGATCCACACCACAGACAACACTGGCCGGACCCCAGCCAGTCTCAAACTTGCAACATCTGCATTTCTGTGCAAGATCCCGTGGCAGCATCCCTTTCCAGCTCCGGAGACAGGCAGTACCTACGCTGAGAGGTGCATCTGTTCGCACAGAGGGAGAAACAGCCTGGAAACAGCAATGGGATCCAAAGCGAGAAGACAGCTCTGGGGAACCAAGATTTCTGCCTCCGGGGGAAGCTCAACTCCACCTCATGGCAGTTGCAATTCAAGTGTGGGATGAGCAGCGTTTGCGCTGATGGATGTGGGTTGGCTTCCACCGGGCAAGGCAGCACCTTGTGAAACCTGTCACCTGCCAACAGCACTGCCATCCAGGATCAAAGGCTGATCAACCCGACACCGCATCACGCCGGCATAACCCTGCACAGCTCACACCTAGAGCAGAGCTTCCAGAGAGGTAAATGGACAACTGCCTTCCCCAGAGGCAACTGCACAGCACAAAGCCCTTCCCCTCGTCCCGCTCTTTAGAACAAGTATCTTCCCACCCAAAAGAGGAGCAATGTTCTCAGACAGCCTCCCTGCAGAGCTAACGGGCAAACACCCTTGGTTTTAAGACAGAAAATCGTGTCGATAAGGGAGATTCCCTGGCCAGATGCTGCACTGGACTCAGGACACCCGCTTTAACTCCTATGCCCAGTGGTGCCCCACCATCACTCCCAGAGGCACGGGCTTGCAGCAGGGGCTGGGGGCTGCAGCAAGGTTTTGCTCTGGTACTTTGCTGCCCAAGCTGAGACCTGTCCCACGTTCGCTAAACTACTGAACTGCTCAGGGAGGCTGGGCCAGTGCTCGGCGGGATGCCCGAGATGGGTGGGTATCTCCCTCTGCCCCATCAAGTTTTTCATAAAAGAAAAACTCCTTTGCAGGCCAGCACAAAGGAGTCACAAGGCAATTCCATAGCAGAGTTATTTCCCAGCACAGCCATCAGAAGGATGACTTGTTTTTCTTTTAAAAGAGGAAACCACATACTGACGGGAGGTGCAGTTCAATGGGAAGTCCAATACACCGTGTCTGTGCTGGAGATAGGAACTGCATGGGCACCAGACAAGAGAACAGTATGTGTAAATGGTTTTGGTCCCTCTACAGAATGTATGAGAACCCAGGCTTAAACAGGCAGCTCACATTTTTCCTACTCATTTTGTAGGTGGTCTTTGGCAATAAAGACACGGAGATGCTCACAGACGCATGACTAACGTCCCTAAGCAACTATTTATCAGTTCATGACTTGTTTCGCATGCAACGTCAAGTCCAGAGCTAAGATAAACAACCAAGGACCAAACCTCACACCTCTCCAGGTGTGCTACGTGAGTGTTACACACACACACAGACGGATGACAAAGCCCAGGCAATCTGAGGAAGAGAGCAGTTGCCAGTCCAGCACCGCAAACGGTGAGTCAGGGTGGCTGGGCTTTCCAGGCACAACCCTGACGTCCCTGCAGAGACCGGCACCAAAGCTCCCTCCCTTTCCCTAGGTAACAGGTGGATATAGCAATATATCACCTTTGTTAACAAAGCGCTTCGGGATTCTGTGTTTTGGGACTCTTTGGGAATTCAAACCATTCTATGATTCTATGATTCCACTAACGTGGTTCACACAAGAGCTGTGACCACAGAAACAATATTTTCACCCTGTGGGCCAGGCCCTCTGCAGTGGCGGGGGCTGAGCTGCATTTGGCACGGTCACCTGCAAGCGTGAGGACAGCCACGTCCATGGCTTGTCCCACAGATCTCAGACTTGATGTAATTACCCAGACCATTCCGGGAGCTGTGCACGTGCCCTGGCAGCACGGCTGAACAGGGAGGCACTGCCACCCCCATGTTACAGATGAGACCTGAAGGATGGCAAGGTTAATTTTCTCCTCTTCATCAGTCTGTACTTCAGGAGCTTCATACTCCAAATCCCTAAACCCACCAGAAGTGCAAATTGCCACCCGGACTAGAAGGAAGCAGCAGCATCTTGGCCATGCCCTAAGCAGCAGCTGGCAGAAGGAGGGCTCAGAACGATGCTCAAGCAAACCCTTGAGCAGCAGATAAATCTTCACTCCCTACTGCATCCAAAGATAAACAGAGCAAGCGAGCCCCAGATGAAAGCCAGGCTTAACACCTCTTGATGAAAGCTGCCGCCTTCTGTCCCCTCATCCCATAGCACGCGGTGGTGGAAGCTGCACGGTTCTGCTTCCACCGGAGCCCGCGAGATCTCTGCCTAAGAGGAGTGCAGAGATCCCACCTCCAAATTCCAGACGGACCCCCCTGAGTTTTGGGAAGCAGAGGGATGCCAGTACTGCCAGTAAATGTTTGCAAGCGTACAGGAAGCGTGACTGTAAAACAGTGTGGTTAGAGTTCAGGGCCCGATCCTCTCACTGGTTTTTACATCAGCATCTCATTGGCCTCAACAGGAAATCAGCATACATAAACAACTGCTCTTATTTATTTATTTTCATACCTTGTAGACTTTGGTAAGGGAAGGATAGGGTATTTTTTCTTCCACTGTATTCATGCAGGATCTAGCATGAATGGTCCTCCGAGACGGAGAGGAGTCCAGGCAATACCAGAGTATAAATAACATTATCAGACTAATAAAACAGCTGTGAGCTGGATCTGAGCTCAAACACAGAAACAGTTAGGTATAACTTCTAATCTCCATTAATGACAGAGCTGCGGTGACTCAGCCTTATTTACAAGTCCACCTGCAAAACAGGCTAAGAAGTCACCTGTGTTTAACAGCTTTCTGTGCAGCGGCATTTTACCATTTTGGGATGAAACGGGAGCTGAGGTTTCTCCTGGGTTCCGTTCGGCCCCGTTCCCAGTTTCACCCATTAGTGTGAAACACAATTACACAGTCTGCTGGGCTCGGCACACACGAGAAACGGACTGACCCGCTTCTGAATGTCGGTGACCGTAACTTTTCATCGCTGCGATGCCGGGGCACACCAGAGACCTGACTGCATCCTGCAGCCGACGCAGCAAGACTGAAACCAGCTGCCTGAGACCAGGCACTGCTCAGCGTGTTTCTCTGTGTCTTTTAAACATCGAGCACCTTTTGCTCTCTCGTGTTTAGGGAAGGGAAAGTAAATGACACCAGGCACCAGTCGTACACCTCGCAGCCAGCCGGGGCGATCTGCCCCGCGCCCCAACGTCTGTGCCCCCCGGCAGGTCCCTGCACACTATTTGCTCTGTGCCTTTCAAGCCCCCCTTGCTGCCCACCACACTACTCCAGTGCCAAGCATCTCCCGAAAGCACTCAACATGTGCTCTCCCAGTTCAGTTCAGTTTTATGGAGCTGATTTGTTATCCCAGTCTTGCAAAGGGCCCTGGAAGTATGCAAAAAACATCTTT